TTGAAAATGTAAACACTGACAGAGATTTATAGAAAATAAAGAGTGCCGCAAATAGACAGTTAGGTGTGACATTGGTAACACAGGCTCTTGGAAAAGTCAGTTTTGGAAGCCTGAAAATGGCAAAAAGACAAGCTAAAATGGCCGCTGCGTTCCAAAATGGCAGACTTTGCGTGTCTAAAACCAAAATGTTCATGTCGCCCAGTCGACCTGATTTCAGGGACTGCCACAGCTAGCGAGACAAAACCTTCAAGAAGTAAACAAGTCTTATCTGTGTCCTTGCTGACACTAATCAGCAGGTCAAAGTCTGACCTCATCAAGATGTCATTTAAGGTGTTGACCTGTTTAAGTTGGAACTCCGACCCGGTGAATCCACCGCCAATGTCCAGGATGTTCATGTTGAAGCCCAGGTCCGCCTACAATGAACAACAAGCAGAGATGTGAGCTTCCAAAAGGCCCGTGAGTGGGGACCACCTGAGCGGGAGTGTGGAAATAATTCACTTTGCTTCACATCTTACGGTTGTTCTCTTATGAAAGTTTACACAGTGCTGGATGAACTTGATGGATGTCCACATTTGTACTTATTCCAAAATGTATTACAAATAACTCCCCCCTCCACCCCCCAAATTAAAAAAAAAAATTCAGTATGAAATGCTGTGTATAGAATTTTGCCATTTCCCATAAAATCTGCATAAAACCCTGGGCACTCACCCCCATGTCGAAGACGCAGCGGGCGTCTGCCAGCGCGTGGCCATAGGCCCGCTGCAGCTCCAGGCAGGAGGTCGGCATGTTTAAGGCCACGCCCACCACCTGCATGCCGAGCACCTTGGCCGCCTCCAGCAAGTGACGGCAGCTCTTCAGGGTCGCGCCGAAGGCCATGCTGGTCTCAGCCGCATGAGCCTCTGTGCTCAGCTGCAGCAACAATCTGCAAGGTCATGTAACATGAACTATTAGTCAGAACATTCCACCTTATTTTCTTGTTCCACCTCTTGAGCAACTATGCTATTAAGCTATTGTTCTTTCGACTGACTTGGCACGTGGATGGAGGCGCGCAATCTTGGCCAGCTCGGCCTCATTCTCGCAGACGAGATGGTGGACTTCGTGCTTGGCGGCAGCCTTGATGAGCGCCAGCTGCTTGCAGACGCCCGACAGGATGATGTTGTCGGGCGGCACGCCGTGCTCCAGCGCCAGGTTGACTTCGGCCTGCGAGTGACAGAACACCATTAAAAACCATCCAAATCAGAGCTGACCTTGTTGTACAAATGGTTGACTAATTAGCCGCGTGCGGTTTTAATGAAATCAAATACTCACTTTGCTGGCGCAGACAAAGCCCAGGCCCAGGGAGGCGAGCACCTCGAGAACTGCCGGGCTGCGGTTGCACCGGAGCGGGAAGTACGGCTGCAGCCGCTGTGTGGCACTCTTCCAGAGAGAGTCCTGGCGGATCAGAGCGCCCAGGTCACCCACGATGAAGGCGCTCTTCTCCACCTATCAACACAAAAAAAGCAAAAGATTTAGCGGCACCAACAGAGGCGCAAATTACAACTTAATTCTGGGAAGATGATACACGTTTTCCGAAAAAA